TAACAACGATCCAATAATATAATAGGATCAGACTTTTACTTTGACACTCAGTACTTTCATGCTTTTACTTTGTAGGATTCTGAGTGCACGACAGAGTATTTTACACGGTTGTGGTTTTACTTCAGTAAAAAAATCAGAGCACTTCCTCCAGAGCTGGGGTCATGTGACCGACCTGCAGAGTCTCTCTGCAGCTGGTCCAGGTTCAGCTGACTGGAGTCCAGTCTGGTCCTCACCTCTGACACCTGATCTGCATCAGGAAAACACGTTTTACAAACACCTGAGCGTCAGCAGCCGCAGAGAGCTACAGTCAGTAATGACAGAGTGATGAATGAAAGAATGAATAGATCATTTAATAACTGAATGACTTCATCATCATGTTTTATCAATGTTATCGATTATTGGGTATTTTCTTCTGATTCATTCTGTGAGTGAGTGAGTGAGTGAGTGAGTGAGTGAACTGATGTATAATGAAAAGATGAATGGATCAATTGTTGAATGAAGGAATGAACATATAAATAAGTGAATAAATGAGTGATGTGGTATTGAAGAGAATCACAGTCCAGCAGAATGAATGAATTGATGAACGAATGAACGGATGAACAGATGTATGAATTATTATTTACCCAGGATGACACTGAGCTGCTCTCTCTCTGCAGATGAGTTCAGTTTTTCCTCCAGTGAATTCAGTCGACTCTGAAGAGCTGAAACCACACACACACACACACACACACACACACACACACACACACACACACACGTTCATCATTCTTTTACACTATCGGTTAAATAAACAACACTGGAGGACTGATGAAAATCATTAGTTGATTAATTAGCTGTGTGACTGATTGAATGATTATTGGAAGTGATCATTCAGTTGGATCACCTTCAGAGTTTGTGTCCAGCTCCCGCAGACGGACGACCAGCTGGCGGTCGGACTCCTCAGACTCAGATGAAGCGTTGGCGGCTGCAGACACTGGAGGAAGGTTTGAATGAAGTTAAACTTTGACACAGTGAAGTGTTTCATTCACCTGCATCTCAAACTCTCGTCTGACGGGGCGACAGGAGGAGGATCAGTTTACCAGCTGATTGACACTAAAACAGGTGGAGGGAATCTGACCTGAGATCTGTCTCCTCAGCTCCTCTATCAGAGTCTCAGTGTGACACAGTCTGATGGCCAGGACTGAAACCAGCAGACAACAGAGTCAACACAACAACAACAACTACAACAAAACAACAACTACAACAACTACAACAAAACACAAAACACCACAACAACAACAACAGCAACACAACAACAACACAACAACAACACAAACACAGTCTGACGGCCAGGACTGAAACCAGCAGACAACAGAGTCAACACAACAACAACAACAACAACAACTACTACAACAACACAACAACTACAACAACTACAACAACTATACAACAACAACAACAACAACAAGAACATCAACATCAACACAAACACAGTCTGACAGCCAGGACTGAAACCAGTGGAGAACAACCAGTCAACACAACAACAACAACAACAACAACACAGCATGAGGACGATGAAGGAGGAGGAGGAGGAGTGTGAACATTAAATCAGATGACGATGATGATGATGATGACCTTCACTCTTCCTCCTCAGCTGCTCCACTGTGCTCTCACTGGCCCTCAGTCTCGTCTGCAGGAACGGCAGCTCTGCCGACAGAGCTGTGGAGACACCAACACACTGTTACCATGGCAACCGGAGATACACCTGAGCCGTTCATAATAATAATCTATTAAATACATTCAAATATTTATTTGATTCTTACAAAATCATTTTAGTTTTAAAGGTTTTTATTTGAAGTTTAGATCCAAAAGAAGAAGGTGGTGTCTGTCTGGGGGTCCAGGTGGACCGGGCTGGGGGCGTGGCTCAGGGTGGAGACTGTTTCATTATGACATCACAAATTAACAGATGTTCTGACGGCTTGTTTTAAGCTGTGTTCATTTCTCTTTGATACTTTCACTGTGTTTCATGCTCACCTGTGTTCTTCTTCTGCAGGTTCTCCAGCGAGCTCTCGCTGGCGTTCAGTCCGGACTGAAGTGCTGAGACACAAACACACAGCAGGATGACACACACTGATACAACCAAACGTGTCATGTGACGTTCATGTTCCCCTGAGGATTAACTGTTGTGACTCTGACCATCCTCTCACTTCTCCTCTGGCGCCACCTTCAGGTCACAGTTTAATGAGTCCAGTTCATGACTGGACACCTGCAGAACTAATGACGTTCCCATCAGCCTCAGCTGGACGCTGTGTTGACTGCTAATTAGCTAATGTTAGCATGCTAACAGGCTAAAGTAAGATGTTTATACCTTAGCATTCACATGAGCGTCTCCTCAAGTCGGAACAACAACTCGGGAAGTCGATGAAAATAATTAATTATTAATCTGCTGTCTGTTTGTAACCGGCAGGTGTTGTCCATGTACAGTGACATCCCTGTTTGTTTGTTTGTTGTTTAGACTTTAGATACTTAACTCAGAGAAATATAAACATGTTGTTGACACCAGCAGCTGCACAAAGACTGAAACAGACTGAAGTGATGATCTCAATCAGAATCAGCTGATCAGAGTCTCACACACTGACCTTCATCACCTTCATCACCTTCATCACCTTCACCACACACTGAGGCTTTAGGTTCCTGACACATTTTGGTTTGATGCTCATGAATGTGAAACGTGGATCAGCTCAGTCACCAGGTCCACCTGTTGACACCCACCTTTGCTCTGCTCCTCCAGCTCCTCCACTTTCATCCTCAGATCTGAGTTCAGCTCCATCAGCAGCTTCCTGTCCTCCTCCGTCCTCTCCTCGCTGCTCCTCAGCTCCTCCGTCTGTCGGACCACCGTCTCCTCCAGTCCGTCCAGGCTCCGTCTCTGCTGCTCAGCCTCCACCTCTACGTCCCTCAGCCGGCTCTCCATGTGCCGCAGGGCCAGACGCCGCTCAACCTCCTCCACCTTCAGGCTCAGGACCAGCTCCTTCAGCCCCCGCAGCTCGTCCCAGAGGACAGGGAGCCGTGGAGGGACTTCAGCCCCCGTCTCCGTGTCGTCCTCCTGGGGGACAGAAGCCACCGACTGTCCCCGACTGAATGGAGATGACCAGAGAGAGAGCAGCAGAAACAGAACAGCAGACTTCATCCTGAAAACACAACCTGCTGCTGAACAGGCAACAGTCCAACAGCTTAAACACACACACACACACACACACACACACACACACACACACACACACACACTAATCTTGGCGAGGCAGCAGCAGGAACCTTCAAGCAGGGATGAATGAGTCGACTCACATGAACATTTGTTTTCTCATGAACACAAGAAGCGTCAGAGTGTAAAGATCAGTCGTCCTCCTGCTCTCCAGAGGATGAATCTTTTTAACGAGTTGCTGACCTGTTCTCCAGCACCACCTGCAGGGCGACATGTTTAGCTCCTGGACAGGTGAGACAGGTAAATCATCAGGGTGTCGGTTGTGTTATCTGGTTAATGAATTCTTGTTTGCTCTCAGCCGGAGTCAAAGGTCATTGACCAGGATGGAGAAACATCAGGAAACAGATCTTATCATGTGACCAAAGCTTCATCAGGTGACATCATCCACTGATGAAGACCATGAAACACAGGTTACAGCTCTGGGGGAACAGAAATGTTTAAATGGAGTCATACTCTGTTGTGTGTGTTTGACCCTGAACAAACAAACACTAAGTGAGAAACAACAACAACAACAACAACAACTACAACAACAACAACAACTACAACACTGGATGCTGAGCTGGAGCCTGCAGGAGGCTCCGTCAGGGTCGGACTGATGCTGCATACCAAACATAGCTAACACGCTAATCTGCAACAACACAAAGACCTCAGTGCTCAGAGGATCTGTGTGTTCTGCTGTCACGTGCACACTCCCGTGCACGGCTCTGCTGTCAGCGACCACTCACAGAGGATCATATGTGTGTGTGTGTGTGTGTGAGCTGCTGCTTCATCACATGACTCCTCTCCTTCACATTTTCTTTCTCAACACTTCCTGTAGATATTGAAGTGTAAATGTAAAGTGGATTTTCTCACAGTAACTTATCTGTGAATCTGCTTTTACACTTTACATTTAACAAAAGACAGTTTGGTGAAGCAGTGAGGGATCATGGGAGTTGTTGTCTTCTCCTGGTTTGGATTCCTTCAGTGTCAGTGGTTCAGGAGCTGAATTATCCACAGAGGTTTCCTCTTCTCCACAACAAATAGAGTTGAAACACTGAATAAAACACCTTTGGTTTTTTTCAGTCGGGCTCTTCTTTTAGAAAATACAGTATTTATCATTGACGCTGGAAACACAGAAATAATCGTCGGATTTACAACTTTCCAACGGTCCGTGAACTAACCATGTGTGACAGAAAATATAAATAAAATTTAGGGTTAAAATTGTGATGTTTCCTCAAAAATCACTTTATTCTACATCTCATTTAAAAACGGCAAAAAACGGCCAGTTTGCTCTGAACAATTGATTCATCATCAGCGGAGGACAGAGACTCAGGGAAGAGTTGGAGCTGAGAGTGACGCTAACCTTTGTTCTGATTGTTTCTCTGATAAATAACTAATGACCCAGACGTTCAGGAGACACTCATTTTTCCTGAGCAGACGGAGTAACTTAAGAGTGTTGCATAAAGGGTTTCCTTAGTTAAGAAAAAAAGTTAAGTAATTTGCAGCAGTGACAAAGATTTTACAGCAGTAAAATTCTACTGTTTCCATGGAGACCGTTGATTTGCTTCCATTAGCCCACTTTTGGTAAGTTGGTAACATTAAAGAAGCTGCTGCGTCATCCTCCTGGTGTTTTGACAGGAACTTCACCAAGAGATGAAGAGAAAACCTTAAATACTTAAATGAACATTGTAAAGAAACCTTAAGAAGAATAAAGGTGTTTTGTGCAACTGTTTTTATTTGAAAGAAACCTTAATTCAGACATTAAGGACACTCCGTCCCAGAATTCATAGCAAGCACGTAGAAGAAAACAGCTGTTCACATTCACACAGACGGAGAATGTTGAAGCCTCCAGTCTGACCTCCACCAATCAGAGCACAGCGCGAGGGCTCCAGGATGAGGTCATCTTCCCACAGGTGTCACCTTCTCTGGAGAAGAAAGTTAGTGTTTGAGCGAAGATGAGTTAGAGAAACGATGAAGACGCTGCTGATCGGTTAGAGATAAGAAACCACCTGACTATTGATCTGATTGGTTGGTCTAACTTCCTGTCTGGAGGCGGGGTCAAAAAGAAAACACACCTATATGTTTTATTCAAAAGAAAACATACAGAACCTGTACCTGGGTCAATGTGAGGACATCTGAGAAACCTCACTGAGAAAGGCTGTGAGGAGGTGCTGAAAGCTCTGGGAAAAGCTCAGTAAGTGAGTTTAGAATCTTAGCACCTGAGTAGATGGAGTGATTTATAAAAAAAAAACATCTTCAGTGACCAAAACCAGGAAGTGGATTTTATTTGAAATCAACAGAGAAACGTCATATTGCTTCAAAGACACGTCAGACCTGATCAGGTCCAGGTCTCAGTGTGATAGACCTGCTCCTGAGTCCAGTCCAGACCGGGTCCAGCTGAAGACCAGCTGGACCCGGTCTGACTTTAAGTTCAGCTTCAGTCTCAGTCCAGTGTGAACGGCCCCATTCTCTTCACCGTGTTCAGTTCCACTGGGGGGTTTGTAAACAAGCTTTGCCATCGCCATGGTAACCAATGTTTGTTTGCACTGCTGCCACTGTCATCAGCATCATCATCGTCACAGCAGCGTTCAGGAGTCAGTCCGTTTCCTGTTTCCTGTTTGAAACAGACGAGTAAAAACAAACAAAAAGAAAAAGAGAAAATAAAAACAGGAACTTTTCCTGTGACGGACAGGTGAGCGTGTCGACAGGTGAGCGTGTCGACAGGTGAGCGGGTCGACAGGTGAGCGTGTCGACAGGTGAGCGGGTCGACAGGTGAGCAGACGTCATGGAAACACTTTAACTGAAGTCCCGTATTGACATATGATCAGCATATAAACTAGAGCTGCAACAATTAGACAGAAATAATCAATCAACTGTTTTGATAATCAATCGATTGTCTCTGAAGACGTTCTGATGATTCACTGAGAAAATCAATAATTGATTAATCAGACAAATCAGCTGATTGATGAGTTGCAGCTCTGACATATGATAACTGTTCAGGACGAGTCGTTAACATTAATCAACCATCTGATCACATTGATCAGCATCCAATATTTGAATGGATCCGGCTGAAATAAAACGGATCCTGTGTGCTCATCAGCCTCAGGTGGATCAGAGCAGAGAACCTGACCTATCAGCTGTTAGCTAATCAACATTAACTCGACTGAACCAAAGATCCTCTGTGAGGGAAGAGGCTCCACTCTGTGTTTCCAACATTTCTATCTGAAGGTGGGAACAAGTCAATGACTAAAGCTTTAGCATGTAGCATGTTTCTGTAGCTCCAACAAATCCATCAGAGTGAGACGTCTTCTCTCTACAGGATCGATCCGCTTGAGTCGATTTCACATCAGCACATAATCAACCTTCAAGGACCAGGACGTCTCAGTTATCACGTTTATATACTGAAGCTAAATCCAGGAACTTCAAGTCATTTCATACAGAATAAAGTTTGTCAGTGACGCTGAGTGACTAGAGTGTGTGTCTAATAAAACTTGATGAACACACACAGATGACGCTGTGTCGGGTGTCTGGATCCGGTTCACCTGCTGGTCCACTTTAATGAATCTTTGAGGATTTTATTAACCTGGTCTGGTTTGTCTTTCAGTTTGTGTCTGACTTTGCTCCCAAAGATGCTGGTGTATGAGCTGCACACAAAACCATGGATGTGGGTGTCGGATCACGTGTGTTCAGGTCGACGTGGTCAGACACACACGTGAAGCTTCATGGAGATTGAAGAATGTCAGGAAGTCCTGATCTTTCTAGTGTCAGTAGAGTCTCATCTACTAGCTGACCTTTGACCTGCCAGCCTGACCATTGACCCCAGTCCACTCCGCTCCTAATCAGGACCTCCAGGAGTCCAGATCTGTACCAGTCCAGTCCTGGCTGATCAGCGCTGGCCAGTGTAAGCTCTGAACCAGGAAGTGACAGAAGCAGCAGCAGACGAAATCATCCCGCCAGTGTTAGCAGAGGGCTGGGAGACCTGCAATGCACTCTGGGAAAGATCCATGGACTGTAAGAAGACAAGAAGAAGAGAAGGAGGAGGAGGTGTTACCAAGGAACAGATTTTACTTTGAAAACCACCAGACAGGAAGTTACACCGAGCTGTTGCTGTGACTGTGATTGGTCAAGAGATGCAACGATACTCACACAACAAACATGTCAACTTCCTGTTTATACACACACACACACACACACACACACACACACACACACACACACACAATCCAGGTGTTTCTACCTGCGATGGGATGTCACAGAATCGTGGACTGGGCACCGTCTCCCAGTCCGTCCCCAGGTCCGTCTCCTCGTCTGTCACGGCCTCATCTCCGCTCTCCTCCGCCGGCCCCGCGGCCTCGGGCTCCACAAACTCCATCGACTCCTCCAGGTCAGCGCTCACCTCGAACGGGCCCGTCCTGGACCGAACACACATCATTGATTTACTGGACCCACACCTGGTCTAGATCAGCTGATCTCATGATGTCATATTAAGACTGTCAGTGGTCATGTGGTCTGATTCCTCAGACAGACAAGTGTATCTCACCTGCCCAGGTTGTCGTTGTCAGGGGAAACCAGAAACATGATGTTCCTCAGAGTGTGATGAGGGTGGAGCTTCTCACTGTCCACATGCTACACACACACACACACACACACACACACACACACACACACACACACACGTTATAAACATAAATTAATATGTACTGTTCATGTGTGACCTCACAACTACAGAGAAAATAGATCCAGTGGAACAGAGTGGAGTGATATCAGGAAGTGAAAACAGTCTCTGTATCTACAGGTCAAAGGTTTTCTACAGCTCACCTCCTCCAGCTGTTTCAATGTACATGATTCAGAGTTTGTGAAACTGAAGCACAGAACAACTATTATTATTATCATTATAATAATAATTGTTGTTGGTGTTGTTGTGAGTGTCTGACCTGGGAGAAGCAGAGATGCAGGATGTTGGTGTTGAGTTTGCTCAGAGCTCTGGTGAAGCGATACCTGCTCAGGTTCTCTCCACAGAACTCACTGAGGACAAACAGGGTCACTGTTAATCATCACACACATGGAACCACCCGACGCTCCATTTTCCTGACGGCGCTCTGCACGTGAAGGCAGCAGCGGGCGTCTCCTACCTGTTGCACAGCTTCTTGGGCAGGTTGACGTCCAGGATGTGGGACAGGATGGTGACGAGCTGCGTGGCGTAGCAGAGGGCGGCACTGATGGTGTGAGCTGGGTTAATGTGGTCCAGCTCTGCAGCACACAGGAGGTCAGAGGTCAGAGGTCAGACCATACAGGAGAGAGAGAGAGACAGAGAGACAGTTGTAAAATGCTGCCTGTTTTGTTGAAGACGACACTTTTAAAAAAAGCAGTGCAGTACATTTTTCTATTGTTGCTATGCAACCACTGAGTCACCTGTCCTCAGGCTAACCTTGATTTTGTTGTGAACTCAAGAGGGTGTGTGTTATTTACACATACACACAGCTGGAGGAACCACATGCTGCTTACCAATGAGAGTCTGTTATACACCCCCCTCCCCCTCAACCCCTCCTCACCTGGGCCCTGATTGGTGCTCTTCTCCTCCACCCAGCTGTAGTAGGCGGAGCAGTCTCCGTTGCTGGGCAGGGTGACGGGGGGTCCTGTGATGCTGATGCTGGTCTCTCCGTTCTGGTCATCCCAGATCCAGCGTCCCGACAGGTAGGTGGTCCTCCGAGCCTCGGCCAGCTCGCTCACCGTGCTGGAGGTCAACGCCGGGTCGCACTCCGCCACCACGTCCGCGGGGTCTCTGACCCACAAACACATCGAACAGGTGGTTGGTAGGTGCTCAGCTGTGTCGTGTCAGAGGTCAGCTATGGTACTGTTGTTGAGGTGTGTTGTTGTTGTTGAGGTGCGTTGTTGTTGTTGTTGAGGTGTGTTGTTGTTATTGAGATGTGTTGTTTTTGTTGTTGTTGAGGTGTGTTGTTGTTGTTGAGGTGTGTTGTTGTTGTTGTTGAGGTGTGTTATTGTTGTTGTTGTTGAGGTGTGTTGTTGTTATTGAGATGTGTTGTTTTTGTTGTTGTTGAGGTGTGTTGTTTTTGTTGTTCATGTTGAGGTGTGTTGTTGTTTAGGTGTGTTGTTTTTGTTGTTGTTGAGGTGTGTTGTTGTTCAGGTGTGTTGATGTTGAGGTGTGTTGTTGCTGTTCAGGTGTGTTGTTGAGAACTGTTGTTGTTGTCGAGGTGTGTTGTTGGTGAGGTGTGTTGAGGTGTATTGTTGCTGTTGAGGTGTGTTGTTGTTGAGATGTGTTGAGGTGTGTTGTTGTTAAGGTGTGTTGTTGTTGTTGTTGAGGGGTGTTGAGGTGTGTTGTTGTTGTTGAGATGTGTTGTTTTTGTTGTTGTTGAGGTGTGTTGTTGTTCAGGTGTGTTGATGTTGAGGTGTGTTGTTGCTGTTCAGGTGTGTTGTTGAGAAGTGTTGTTGTTGTCGAGGTGTGTTGTTGTTGAGGTGTGTTGAGGTGTATTGTTGCTGTTGAGGTGTGTTGTTGTTGTTGTTGAGGTGTGTTGAGGTGTGTTGTTGTTGTTGAGGTGTGTTGTTGTTGAGATGTGTTGAGGTGTGTTGTTGTTAAGGTGTGTTGTTGTTGTTGTTGTTGAGGTGTGCTGTTGTTGAGGTGTGTTGTTGTTGTTGAGGTGTGTTGTTGTTGTTGTTGAGGTGTGTTGAGGTGTGTTGTTGTTGTTGAGGTGTGTTGTTGTTGAGATGTGTTGAGGTGTGTTGTTGTTAAGGTGTGTTGTTGTTGTTGTTGAGGTGTGCTGTTGTTGAGGTGTGTTGTTGTTGTTGTTGTTGAGGTGTGCTGTTGTTGTTGAGGTGTGCTGTTGTTCAGGTGTGCTGTTGTTGTTGAGGTGTGTTGTTGCTGTTGATGTGTGCTGTTGTTGAGGTGTGCTGTTGTTGAGGTGTGTTGTTGTTGTTGTTGTTCAGGTGTGTTGTTGCTGTTCAGGTGTGTTGTTGTTGTTCAGGTGTGTTGTTGTTGTTCAGGTGTGCTGTTGATGAGGTGTGCTGTTGTTGTTCAGGTGTGATGTTGTTGTTGTTCAGGTGTGTTGTTGTTGTTGTTCAGGTGTGCTGTTGTTGTTGTTCAGGTGTGCTGTTGTTGAGTTGTGCTGTTGTTGTTGAGGTGTGTTGTTGTTGTTGAGGTGTGTTGTTGTTGTTCAGGTGTGTTGTTGTTGTTGTTGAGTTGTGCTGTGCTGTTGTTGTTGTTCAGGTGTGCTGTTGTTGTTGTTGAGGTGTGCTGTTGTTGTTGTTCAGGTGTGTTGTTGTTCAGGTGTGATGTTGTTGTTATTGAGGTGTGCTGTTGTTGTTGTTCAGGTGTGCTGTTGTTGTTGTTGTGTACTGTCGTTGTTGAGGTGTGCTGTTGTTGTTCAGGTGTGTTGTTGTTGTTGTTGTTCAGGTGTGTTGTTGTTGTTGTTGTTCAGGTGTGTTGTTGTTGTTCAGGTGTGTTGTTGTTGTTGTTCAGGTGTGTTGTTGTTGAGGTGTGTTGTTGTTGTTGAGGTGTGTTGTTGTTGTTGAGGTGTGTTGTTGTTGTTCAGGTGTTGTTGTTGTTGAGGTGTGTTGTTGTTGTTGTTGAGGTGTGTTGTTGTTGTTGTTGAGGTGTGCTGTTGTTGTTGTT